AATGTATGCACACAGCCAAAAATAAAAGAAACTACAAATTTCGATTTAAAGCTTTCGTGACTGCAGGGATTAATATTTTTGGTTCTTTCGGTAGTCACGTAGAAGAAGAATAAAATAATACAAAACAATAAAATTATCACGTTTCGATTGCAACACCTGATGATGATTGCTTGTGTTGCAATCGAAACGTCGTGAGAATGTAATTGTTTTATTTGTATTATTTCCCTTCTACGTGACTTTACCGAAAGAACCAAGAATAAAAATAAACTACATTACAATACGGTGTTAATTGGTCAAGTACTCGGTATGAAGGTATATTTTCCTAGCATATCTAACTCTGGAATTGGTCATAATAAAAACAAGCTTAAAGGGCTTTGTGTTATTGTTGCAGTGAATTCAGAATTTCTATGGTAAAAAAACAACCCGTTTTGTAATAGATCTAATGTGCTAAAAATACATGTTTAAGAACCTTTTTGTATATATACAAAATGTATGTTGCATGACTCCAATAAGTACTTTGGTAAACACTGGCTGGATAATCATTATAGGCTCAAATGTGCTGTCGCAGTGCTTTAAAATCACTTGTAATGTATTACATGTTGAATAAGTCTCAAATGTTAATTCAGTGGTATTTTTGTACAGAGATAAAGTTGAACGAACATTTTAAGTAAACTACTAGATTAAACAACTAAATGTGCATTAACATGCTATTAAGAGGCAACACTGCCAATGAATATTGTAAGTCAGTCCCTTGTGACCATAACCTACGTATTTTGTTCAGTCTTGCCAGCTATTTTCCCTTTAATTTAGGCTCACGGAATGAATAACATGGTTTAATAGATCCCCTTTAAGAGCTAAATATAGTAGAATTAATCGTGAGTCCAATTAAGGAAGCTTTCTGATGTAAGCAGACAAATTGTGCCGTGCTTAACAGCCATGCAGTAGAAAGTACAATACTATTCATCACACATGCATATTGGCTTTAAGTGTACTGTGGCGTAACGAAATTTATCAGGGTGCAAAATCAGAGGAAAGAGTATTCGCGCCTCACAGAGGTTAGCAATTACCCTGTGTTCAGCATAGTCCGGTTGTGTACCTCCAATGATCCACAGCCATTATGGCTCCAGTCGTGTGATTTTTTTTTTAAACTATGCGATCGATGAAAAAAGTTGCCCTCTGGTATATAAGTATCATTAGACACGTCGCAATAAACCAACACGTGGCGTGGGTGTACTTTGTAACAAACAAACAAATATCTGCTTCTGTTAAACTTATTCAATACGCCAGTGCAGCTCTGAGTGGTTTGCATTCATTAAACAGTGCATTGTATATTAAACATGCCATGTGGTCTATTGATAATTTCCGCCGAAAAAAAAACACTTTTTTGGGGTCAGGACTCCTTGGCATTAACTGGTTCAGAGGGAATATACCAGTTGTTACTTTACACATTGACTTTTTTTTTATAGAGGGTGCAAAGCAACACACATCTTTATCAAGTTAACCGCTGAAAATACACTTTTCAATAATACACCTGAATTATAAAGAGCTAGTGTAATTGCCTGTCATATGACGGGTTCATAAAAAATGTAATGTAATGAAAACGTGTAAAATGTAAAGATTGTATTGAATTTATTTAATAATAATAAAAATCTCTTATCACATTTGGTGTGAATTGACGATCATCTCACAAAAGTTTTTCTTGTTGAATCAGCACTTTGATGTTGGTTGGATGTTTGCATCTTGACAAAGCAACACAAAGTTGTCCATGGGAAGAAAACAAGGTTCGTTGAGATAAAGTCCAACATACTCACAGTTTGTCCTTGCGACGTATTGACAGTGATAGCAAATGCAGGAATTATTGGAAACTGTCTTCACTTCAGAATAAATGGTAGATTCACATCAGACGGTACCAGATCAGTTCTGGGAATTAAGACTATCTCCACGATTGAAATGATTTCAGCCACAACAAAATTACGGTGCATTTCACGAATGATCCTTTTGGCGGTACCCCGGGGTACCAAATAATACAAGATTGACGAGGCAATGAAATATTTTATTTCAGGGACACTATTTTTTCCAGGGGTGTACTTAACTCCGCGACTGGGGTACTAATCAATCTGAAATCAGTGCTACTCCGTGATGTCGAAACACAGCGAGGACGATTGCGCTAAAACCCTGAACGCTCGTATGCACCAGAGTGCATCGTGTACAGCAGGGACATGCGGTCAGAGGAGGCAGGGGAGGCAGAGCCTCACCTGTCATAAATATAAAGATTTTCCACTGATCTGTGTTATAAATGTCATTTCTGTACGATTACAATTATTTTTATAGTCAAAATCGCCAAATTTGCGGAGCTCCGCTGCAAATACAGGAAGAGACGAGAGGTGAGGCAGCGACGAGCTCAGCCTCCCCTCTGATTGCGCAACGCCTCAGTAACTGGATGGAGCGCGGGCAATAAGCGCGTGCCTGTTACTATCTCAGTATGTCACCAGTGTAATGTTTGTAGACCCCTTCATTTCATGTCCTCGCCTTCCATACTCCAGGTAACTTATTTCACGTATGTGTATGAAGATATTTAGGCTCGCTGGTCTCGTCATGAAACTGCAATGAAAAAGCACCAGGGGAGGCAGCTATCACATCTGCCTCACTGAGGGGGACGTGTCTAACACGCCCCCCTCAGTGAGGCCACGCCCCCTCAGTGAGGCCACGCCCCCCCTCAGTGTGTGAATCTTGCTCTGACACTCGCCAGTGCCTCCCCAGCCATTGACCTCACCGCACGTCACTGGTGTACAGCTCGTCGAGATGAGCCGATTGCCGCATCGCCGACCATGGACAGACTAAACATGACTACATCACGGACATTATGCGACAACCGGGGTACTATGGTACCTCGGGGTACTGCCATAAGGTTCAAATCACCAGACGTGTGTGCCATTGCATAATATTTTTGGGGGGTTGATATTTCCAATTGGCATTACAATGGTTCCTTATTTCAAAAACAATTTATGCGGTACTTTTCCAGATGTTGTTAGCAGCATGTTGCAAAAATTATACTGGCTAATTTGTCACGTCACTGGGATCTATGTCGCCTTCCCAGCGTTACACACAGCGTGCAGCGTCAGGTGTGAGGCACAGATCACCAAGACTAAATGTATAATTGCCAAGGTTATATTTTTCTGCATGTAATGTTTAAACAACCACACTGTGCCTATTTTTATATCCCATTGGGAATACATGTCAATGGTAGTAATATGCAAATAATATAATTCAGAAGCATGTAGTACAGCGAGGGAAAAAAGTATGATCCCCTGCTGATTTTGTACGTTTGCCCACTGACAAAGAAATGATCAGTCTATAATTTTAATGGTAGGTTTATTTGAACAGTGAGAGACAGAATAACAACAAAATCCAGAAAAACGCATGTCAAAAATGTTATAAATTGATTTGCATTTTAATGAGGGAAATAAGTATTTGACCCCTCTGCAAAACATGACTTAGTACTTAATGGCAAAACCCTTGTTGGCAATCACAGAGGTCAGAGGTTTCTTGTAGTTGGCCACCAGGTTTGCACACATCTCAGGAGGGATTTTGTCCCACTCCTCTTTGCAGATCTTCTCCAAGTCATTAAGGTTTCGAGGCTGACGTTTGGCAACTCGAACCTTCAGCTCCCTCCACAGATTTTATATGGGATTAAGGTCTGGAGACTGGCTAGGCCACTCCAGGACCTTAATGGGCTTCTTCTTCAGCCACTCCTTTGTTGCCTTGGCCGTGTGTTTTGGGTCATTGTCATGCTGGAATACCCATCCACGACTCATTTTCAATGCCCTGGCTGAATTAAGGAGGTTCTCACCCAATATTTGACGGTACATGGGCCCGTCCATCGTCCCTTTGATGTGAAGTTGTCCTGTCCCCTTAGCAGAAAAACACCCCCAAAGCATAATGTTTCCACCTCCATGTTTGACGGTCGGGATGGTGTTCTTGGGGTCATAGGCAGAATTCCTCCTCCGCCAAACACGGCGAGTTGAGTTGATGCCAAAGAGCTCCATTTTGGTCTCATCTGACCACAACACTTTCACCCAGTTGTCCTCTGAATCATTCAGATGTTCATTTGCAAACTTCAGACGGGCATGTATATGTGCTTTCTTGAGCAGGGGGACCTTGCGGGCGCTGCAGAATTTCAGTCCTTCACGGCATAGTGTTACCAATTGTTTTCTTGGTGACTATGGTCCCAGCTGCCTTGAGATCATTGACAAGATCCTCCCGTGTAGTTCTGGACTGATTCCTCACCATTCTCATGATCATTGCAACTCCACGAAGTGAGATCTTGCATGGAGCCCCAGGCTGAGGGAGATTGACAGTTCTTTTGGGTTTCTTCCATTTGCGAATAATCGCACCAACTGTTGCCACCTTCTCACCAAGCTGCTTGGCAATGGTCTTGTAGCCCATTCCAGCCTTGTGTAGGTCTACAATCTTGCCCCTGACATCCTTGGAGAGCTCTTTGGTCTTGGCCATAGTGGAGAGTTTGGAATCTGATTGATTGCTTCTGTGGACAGGTGTCTTTTATACAGGTAACAAGCTGAGATTAGGAGCACTCCCTTTAAGAGTGTGCTCCTAATCTCAGCTCGTTACCTGTATAAAAGACACCTGAGAGCCAGAAATCTTTCTGATTGAGAGGGGGTCAAATACCTATTTCCCTCATTATAATGCCAATCAATTTATAACATTTTTGGCATGCGTTTTTCTGGATTTTGTTGTTGTTATTCTGTCTCTCACTGTTCAAATAAACCTACGATTAAAATTATAGACTGATCATTTTCTTTGTCAGTGGGCAAACGTACAAAATCATCAGGGGATCAAATACTTTTTTCCCTCTGTACATGCTTGTCAACCCCTTATCAGTGCCGACCTTATAAGACCAATTCAGACCTTATTGGTCACCCTGTGTCCTTATAAATCTCAACATTCATTCGACAAAGTCTCATCACAAGGGAGAAACACAAATATACCAAAAAATGTGCCCGCATTGAAACGGCTGTATACTCTAAGGACCTGAAAACTTTAATTTCCCTGTAAAAGAATACGGGTAATCCGTATGGGTTGACAGGTATGGTAGGATTCACGGTTAGATTACATGTTAAACTTATTCTTACAACCTCTTTCATATCACATTATAAAACCCACTTAAAAACTCGAGACAATTTTGGTGTATTCAAATTTACAGTTTGTAGCTGTAAAGACGTTTACAATGGCGAGGCAGAACAACTGAATAGTTTATTTCTTCTAAGGAGAAGCATTAAAAACAGTGTGCACACACTACAAGTATTAATTGCAATTCTTCAAGATTTAGAAGGCCCACATTTTTAGTGTTCATCAGAGCTTAAACAAAAAAAAACCTCAGCATTGTAGTTTGGTTAAATGTGCAATATTAGTTTTGCTGACACGGTACAGAATGTGTCCATGCCAAGGTCACGAGTTAATACTCTCCATTTATTAACCTGCTACAGATACAATATGAGACCGGGTATAGATAAAAATGTGCAGACATATCAGAATGTACGATCAACGCTGCCCTAAAACAGCATTGCGGCTGCTGGCACAAGAGGAGCGAGCACTGGCACACCGACAGAACCACGCGGCGATGGAACATGCGGAGGAAATACACGGTGCTGTGGAGGAACTCGAGTGCAGAATCTGTTACCTCATCTACCATCCTCGGACGAGAACCGCCAAGCTGCTTCACTGCGGCCATACATTCTGCAAGACTTGTCTCACCAAGCTGTCTTCTCACGCCTACACGCAAGGCCTCATCTCTTGTCCCTACTGCCGCCAGGTGACCGTGCTGAAGAAGGGAGGTCCGCTCGCTCTGCCCATCAACAAAGGTGTAATGGAAAACCTGGCAGCGCATATGCTGAAGAAAAAAGACGTGAAGACCCAACGCAGTGACGTGGTGACATCGATGGACCATGTCGGTTTCACGGGCCTTAGAAATGCATCGCTTCAGCCCATCTACAGCATCAGTGGGACTGTGCCTTGGACCATTGCCTCTGCTACATCAGCTGCTGGAGACTCCAGTGGAATGCAGGATCACAACGCGTACGTCATACCAATACAACTCGTACTCTCACGGCAGCAAAGCATCCACCAGAGGTGCAGTTTGCTCATCGTCTGCTTTTCATTCTTCTTCGGAATGCCCCTGTGCATGGTAATTTTGTTTATATTGTGTGGCTGAATTGAAATGTGGCCCATATAATATATATGCAATAATAGTTTACCAGTCCATACATAAAGGTGAATAGAAGAGAAGTGAACCAAAACAAACCATTTACCACATCCACAACTTTACAATTAAATCCACAAGCAAAGATGGAAATCGTGAATGTTTTCTCTTTCGACTGAAAGGTTCAAGTGCATGAATTTGTATGGTTTTCATCAAGTTACCACGGAACTCGATCATCTCAAAGTTGTTGGTTAACTGGATTCATCAGTACTTTAACAAGTGGACATATCATCAAGAATGGTTGTATATGATCCGTGTGTACAGGTGGTCTCGACGTGTGTCGGGTGAAGTTCACTGAACAAGCATTGGATCGGGTGCTGAAAGCCTTGTTAGTTTGTAAGCCTGGCTAGCTAAGACTGCAATGCATATGCAACACATTCAATTAATCTCTGACATTCACTATTGCACTTACAAATATAAGCTTGATCATGTTCCGAAAGAGTTTTTACAAAAACTTTCTGAAACACAGCTCATCGCTTCACAATTATCATTACCTTGTAAAACTGTGAAATGTACATTGTTACTTTAATTTGTGAAGGAGTTACCTTTAACTCTAATAAATGAACTTAAAACAAAGGTTACGAGTTATTTAAAAAACTGACAAACAGACAATTTACAGAATTGTAATAACAGTACATATCACTGCTGTTTCTAAAACAGCATATTAACTTGGTAATGTTAAAGGCTCCACAGAAAACGATTACCTGTACATTAAATGTAATTGTTGGCCTCTCTTAAAATGAATGCAATCTTCAATAGTGCAAATTTACTTTTTATTCAATGAGCATCATTTATGTTTAACATAAGTACAAAAACGCTGAGATGCAAGAAGACGTAAAGCATTGCAAAACATGTTTAAAACATACATTTTTATCAAAGTGGTCAGCAAACATTAAACATGGAAATAACATATTACAACGTGAACGATAAGCCACACATTTACATTGTACACTCTTGAAAATTACTGTACATTTACAATATGTTACAACTTACCTACAAAAAAAGGCTAACGTGCAGAAAGCCTATCAGTTACTAAAAAGTATCAATTTGGCAACTCTGAAAAATACAGATGTACAGTATAAAGTTAATTAGCAAGTACATCTGTGAACATCTATGGGACCAGATACCGGTCAATTCAATTATGCGGCAAGAGCTAATCCAATCAAGTGTTACGCTCCAGGTTATATTCAACTCGTGGGAGTTTCCTGACACATTTGCACCAGCCATATCCATCACGATGCCCTGATCTATGACGCTGTGCTGCTAACTGTAGCGGTCTGGCACATCTGGTTGGGTTCTCACTGGGAGCACGAGAACCTTTCAGATGCTCTCAGACGGAGGATTTTGGCCTCCAGATTTTGTAGCCGCTCGTCTAGCCAGTCTGGGGGGACCCTCTGCTGTAAGAGTCGGCTCAGCCTGTCCAGGCCACACTCCACCTCGCCGAGGACTTGAGTCAGGGCCAATTGCACACTCTCCGAGTCAGCGTTAGTATCTTCCATCCTCGCCCGCTTAGCAGGTGCCTGGATCAAAAGGGATGAACAAATAATGACATGACATCAGGCTGCGTGTCAATCGTTGTCATTGTTCCTTAAATGCCAACAAATATGCAGTCACCCTCCTATGATTTTAAGTGGGAAAGATGTGTGCTTATAATGGAACCAACATTTTTTTGTTTTATGTTGATATCAATATGCTATCAGCAGAGTACATGTACTAAATTAGAAGCGAGAATCATTTTTATGAATTCCGAAGCCAACAAATGCTTATAATTTACAGTGGACTTAAAATGGAACTTTAGTCGGAACTTTCCAAGAAAGAAAAAGATGAAGTGCACAGTGCTTTTGGAAGAGCCATAATGTTATTGTGCAATGCTTTCAATGTAGCAAGTAAACCATGACGAAACTTGGCTTCATGATTACTCAATGGCCTTGTGCTTTGGACTTACCTCAACACTGGGAGAAGGTGCTCTCTGATGTACATTTACTGGCACCGATGACTGTGTATGCCACTCTTCCAGCACAAGTTGCTCTTGCTTTAAATATTGCACTTGGGATTCGGTGCTTTGAGCAGAAACAGTTTCCTTCAGAAAAAGTTAAATGAAGAGCGAACGACAAAGTGAAGAAACAACAATGTTATTTTATAACTCACACAAACATGGATGTATGCACTTTGTACCTATCACTTGTAGGTAAAACGTCATATCGTAAATTTTGAAATAAAAGTTTCCACACACTCTGTCTTGCAAATTCACATACTTTGGCATTAACTTTTAGATTAAATTGAATGCTGGTCCTTGAGTTAATATTTACGATTGCTTTGCTTTACTTCCATCATTGCATTGCTTTTAGTGTTAGAACACAATATTAACATACTTACTTTGTTCAGATATCTAACAACCTGTGACTTTATCTCCTCCGTTCCCAGGCAGAGGGGTACCACAAATTCATGGCTGGTTTCCTGATTTTTTTGGAAGGAAGAAACAATAATTAAATATCACCCTTCATTGTAACTGCACATAGATATCAAAGTTTAAACTCTTAGTTAATGACAAAAAAGTCACAATGCAGATTATTCAATAACTGTGTTCCTGAGCTATGCATCTCGATGCATGACTTATTAATTTGAAAAGGCTAGGCATTGTTTTAATTATTGAAACACAAATGTACTGCTTTGACAATACTTTAACATGCCTCGACTCGCTACCAAAATGCAACAAAACCAATTATCAAACGGGAATCCTAATTCACAAATTACACAGCTGCAAAAAGATGGGACCAATTGTAAAAATTAAGATACGGATTCAAATATTCACAAATTCAACAACCGGTCATCTGGTATGCAGCGGAAGAGTATTACACCTTCAATGAATAACTGCACGAAGGGTGCTGGGTTTAGACTTTAGACAGTAGCTTCCTGACAAAGCCAATGCTGAATGCTCACCTCTGCAAACTGAGTGAAAGCTTGCAGGGCTCGGTGATGTACCATCCAGTGGCTGTCAGCCAGCATAGAGGAGAACAGGGCCGGTAGCTTGTTAAGAACCTTAGACTGCGAAGGAATACAATCGCAACACTCCATAATCCACGAGGCTAAGCAGGGCTCTACCATCCAATAAATAAATTATGGCAGCGTAGATGGTGCTTACAATATGCTTTAGCTACATTCATTGGGGAGACTATTTTAAGTATATATGACATTTATATTATAACCTTAATATAATACAAGAACAACTCTACTATCCTGACATAATTTCTGTAAATTAGTAGCACAAGTATGACATGCTTATTATTAATTTTAAGGATTGTATGAATATTAATGTATCCATGGTACACGCAGCACCTGTAAGGTTTGGTGATGATAAACTGGAAGAAAAAAACATGTCAAAATCATTTGAGTTCAGCCTGAGCCCACAATGTTGAAATCTATGAGTTATAGAATAAACATATCCACATGAATAGACAATGATTTACCTGGTGTTCTGGAGGAATAACCTTATTTCCCAGGGTACCCAGGAAATCCAGCGCTGCAAGTTTCAAGCAAACAGCTGGCTTCATGCTCATTAACAACTCCAAGAAATTCACAATCTGCAATGAATGTAACATATATTTAGATATATTTAACAAATCACTTACAGTTTATGTTATTTTCAGAATACAACATGTTTCTGTCTTCATATAAAATGGACAAATGTATGTTTTAGAAGTGGTATTTAAATAATTAAATGTCTTCATAAATATACAAATATATGTCTAGCACCTGCTTTATTGTTTGGGTTTGTAACAGCAGGGAGTGATTGGGATATGCACACAACTCATATTCTTGATCCTGGTCGTAAGAGTTAAATGCACAACATTGCTTCAAATAATTTTAAACACACACTTGCACTATGTGAATAATACGTGAATGAGTAATGACCCCCACACCAATAAATACCTGTATGATGATGTTGTCTTCCAGACTCTGTATAAGCACAGCACACAAGGCTAGCAGAAGGCAGGCTCGCTGTCCAACTGAGTGCACAGCTACTACCTGTATGCACACAAATTCGTTCTTAAAACAGGCAACTTGACTTCGCACTGAAAAGTAACATATGGGTTCAATGTACCAAGAAATAACCTCACACCCAAAAACATATTTTTTACAAAACCTATCGGCTTTATGAGATAAGATGTTAAGTGATCTTACATGCCTCGGCGCATAGGGCACTCTATCCAAAACAAATTATTTCCATTACTGATATCAATATGATCAAGCAGCACTTGTTTAAACAAGCAAACTTTTGACTGGTTTCAACCATCTGGGTCTCATCAGTAAATTATGGTATTAAGTCAAAAGCATTCTTTACAATGTTTTTGCAATGTCGCTTCTGATTATTTTAGTCAAAAAAGCAACGTTTGAAACAATGGTTGAGTGAATATGCCTGACACAAATAAAAAATGCAGGACAGTACAATCAAACCCCATAATAAAAAATACCTGTGTGGCCACGGTGATCTCCCAGAGTTGAGAAACTAGAGGAAGCAACGATGACTTTTCCAGGTCCTCTGGGCTCAGGTCAGCATCTTGGCATAGGTGTAGCAGGCAGGAGAGGGCAGTATTCTACAGATAAACAGCAAGTGTGAACTGGAAGCAGTGCTTTAAAGGAAGCACTACAATCATTGCCATCATCAGCCCAGAGCTATCCACTGATAGGTGAAGGCCTCCCCAAGCCATCTCTCACATTCTAGCGAAAGCGACGCTGTCTAGCATTGCACACGAGCTGATTATTTTGCTCCATGTCTGCAGTAGACATGTTTCTTAGGCACTGTTGTTAAGACTCCACAACCGAACATCACTTCAAGCGATGTCTTCTGTCCAGGCCATTTTACACTGCTGAAGTTAATGATGTCATATTCCTCTATCTATCTCTCAATGCAATTCTAATGCATGCAGCTCTCCTTACTTCTTTGCATGTTTTTCTACTTTTTTACATGTTTTTGTCAATTTACATATTTCTGATCCACATCAGAGCAGACGATACACACCGATTATCTGCCACAGAAACATAGCTGGAAAACACATCTAAGTATGTGTATCTTGGGAAATTATGGAAGACAGACCTGGATCAATATGATGAAAGAGGCTAACCAGATCAGGCATGTATTTCAAAAACTGAATTAATAATGAAAAGCAACATACGTGCATTAACAAGACACGTGAAAAACATAGCATTAATATCGGGAATGCTAAACAATGTGGATTCTCAATTGGTTGTAAACTATCCACAACACAATAGAGTAGATTGTGCTGTTAATGTGTGTGCATATATGCAATAGAATTATATATCAAATCATTTAAGCAACAAGGCTGGTCTTGAAAGCCAAATGCCTTTAGCCTTGGATATCATTGGCAAAAGTAGAGAAAAAAATGTATAATTAACATTTTAGCTGCCAAATTTAAACGTTCGCATTTTACCTTTGTCAAGATGCGTCACCAAAAGCGTGTTGTCCAAAACAAAGAATCGTTTGCACCGACATACATAGCGTACAGTTGTGGGTAACAAACAAAAAATGGGGATACAATGCACTCCTTTCATGCCACTGCTATCGTGGAACTTACGAGGTCTGATCTTTGCTGCGGGGAGGAGACGGAGTTCCAGCACTGTTGGGTGGAGGCCGTGAGCAGCTCGGAGGTGGCGCTCTCCTGCAGGGCTGAAGCCAGCGCTCGCACGCTCAGGTGCTGCCACACGGGCAGGCTCGCCGGCTCGCCTGGAGGCAGCCTCACGAGGAATTCGGCCTGGGGGCAGTAAGCGCCACACATGCCGTTTGTTACAAGGTCTTTTCCTGCCCATTGTTTTCTATGTATGTATGTATGCTGAACTTCTTTCGCACCATACGCAGCCAACCGTGCTAATTGGAGGTGCGTTTTGATAGTTACCTTCTTTTTATTAAATTGTTTTACATATAAGTCATCAGTAATGGATATGCAAAGTCAAAAAGATAACAATAGCAATATTCCAATTCAGAAATGTGTTGCAGATGTACCAGAAAGAGGAGGATGTGGAGAGTAGGACACGTGCAGGATGGAGAAGGGCAATTTACTGAGACAGGCATTGGAGTGGCACCGAGAGGTAGGTGACAGAAGGGGAAGACCTAAAGCTTAATGGTAGTAGCACTTTAAACAGACCTTGGAGGTCATGTATAAACTTTGATACAAGATTTAACAGAATGAAGAAATGGTGAGGTGTAGTAGAATCAATGGCACTGGCAGTGGTGACCTTTAGACTTTAATATAATAATCTCTGTTATGCCTATTGCATTGCTGGCTTTATGTATAGATGTTCTTAAAACCTGGTGATCGGGAGCCATGAAGAACAGCAGTCGACGGAGCAGCAAGAAAAGGCAGGACCCTCTCCAGGTCTGTTCTGGGCAGCGTTCAACCTGGAAATATGTAAATATCGCGAGCAAAGTGGCCAAACAAATGCCAATTTCATTCAATTGTATTATATTAGTCAATTACATTGCCCTCAACACAACATATGACAGATGACACATTTCAAATTAAAGGGCTTGGCAAACAATATATAATAACGCAAGGCTAAATCCTAAAGTAAACATGCAATAAGTGTTATTTCAAACGCCTTAATTAGTTCTGCTTGACAACATAAACATTCTAAAATAATTGTCGATTTAAAAAATAAATGAATATGAGAATTGTTGAATATAGCGTACCAAACCAGTCAGGATGTTCACATGATGTGCACAGAGTTCTGCAGATCCATACCTGAAAACCATTAACACATTGGTAGGTTAATATGAATTTAACAACACACAAAAAATGTACACACCAGTGGACAATACAATTTGCACTACTCTGTTCTTTTGTTATTCGTAAACATTCCAGGCTTTATTGATAAGCACTGCCAATATTTACCAACTGTAAACCATAGAAACACACCTTTAATAAATATTGGTCGAATTCCCCTAGTATCAATAAATATTCTGATTCTAGTATCCTATTAATAACAATAAAGCAACATATTATATCATCAGGCTTGATTTACCACACCAACGCCATCCCTTATGCTCCTGTGATGCAAAAAACAATCTTTCTCCAGCACATGAGGAATATATCACTCCACATCTGCGAATGCCATCCTCTTGGATGTTTACTTAATTCACTACCACTCCCGTGCAACAGCCAACATAACTTTTCTTTACAATTAATGTCTCTAATTTGCCTTTGTGCTCTGATCCATGTGCTTTTCTTTCTGTCCATGTCTGGTTCATTTAATGGCAAGTATTATGCACTTGTTAAAATATTTCAGAAGATTGATATTTGACTTTCGGTGAATAAATTCAGCTTGTCAAAAGTGCCCTACCCTGCTCTCATTTGCCACTTTATTGAATAATTTTTTTCTGTCAATAGTTTTCTTCGGAATAGTATACAAAAACAATTCCAACAATGCCTCAAATATATTCTTTTATTTAGCGAACCTGGCCTTTTCAGCCTTCTTTGTTAAGTACTTCAATTATACCCTGCACTTAATTTGCAATGAGTTGTTATAATTACTATGTTTATCAGCAATACATAGGTGTTTACTAGTCTCTCAATGTATGTTTATGTATTTAATTCCCCAATCCCATTTTTGGCAAGCATCTTACGTCATTGTGAATAACCTTGGTGAACATATCTCCCTGTCCAATGCCTCTTTCTATTTAACTGCTTTCTTCATACAATCTTAGTGTAGATCTGTCATTTTAATAAATGTATATAATTTCCACGCGTATTTTTTATTTTATTAAGATCATGGTTTGAGAAAGCTTGGACGATTGCATCAGTTTGTAAAAAACTAGCTTTACTACCCTGCTTCGTCAGGGACTTGGATTCACCTCGCCCGGCCGCCTTTGTCTCCCCAGTGGCAATGTTCACACACTACACCAGTTACTCGTTTTAGGCTGAGCCGAACTAGGGGAGGCCCAGGACCGGTTCAAATAATCGTCACCGGCGGTGGCCGTGAGCGGGAATCGAACGGGTTCGTAGCGCGGCGCGCTAACCACTACACTACCGCTCCCCCCACACACACACGCGCGCGCGCGTCCGTAGGTACACATACACGCGCTTGCTGCAGACACACCACACAACTTTCAGGGTGCGTACGGCAGTAAACGACTGAAATAATGAAGAAATGCTGCGCGAAGAACGCCTTAGACCTGCAACACATTTGTATGGCACTTTACCCGCGGAGGGTTGGGGGGGGGGGGTGACATCAGCAGACACACTCCGTTATGCTTCCGCATACGGGTCACATGACAGCTGTGACGTCACAGCTCACTTGCCGTGCAAAATGTATGCATTTTTGCGCCTTCCCCACCCCAGTCTATTTTTTTTTATTTTTGCATGGTGTACAGTCTGGAAAGTACCCACATGGCAAATTTTAAGTTTGTTGCATGTCGGGAAGTATGCTAAACATCTTGAACACAAATTTCCCTTTTATATATATAGAAGAAATGCCTTTTCATTGTTTAAAAATAATCTAGATGTAAAAGTTCATGCACAGCCCATTTTTGTCAATCAACTGCTATGAGGGCCTCCCCATGCCTTGTGGGCCGTCAGGGATATGTGACCATACTGTACCATGCTGGAGAGAAAGGTGGGGGGGGGGGGATGTTGAACAATAGATTTCGACGCACTGTCCTCTTCTGCCCACGGCACCGATTACACCTGTCCTTTGCGCACGATGGTCACCCAAACCAAGCACTGTCGGAACCCACTTAGCTTACAATCTGACAAATTTAGGCACATTCTTGGTGATGTGGTAAGAGTCTAAAAGCAACTGTATTCTGTCGTTCATGTGGTCCATGTTCACGTCGGCGGTTAGCCTCTAAATTGTTCATTATTCGGGTTTCTATGATCTTCGTAGACAGTTTATACACATGAGAGGTTAATGGAGAAAAAAAAACGTGCTGTAAACGGCACATAAAAATAGGAAACTCACCGAGCAAGAAAGCACCAGCTGTCAACAGCGAGCAGAGCAGACATCACGTCAGTTCCCAGCACGGCCTCAAGAAGGCAGCATTCCTAAACCACGAGCACACCGCATTACCACACAAGCACTTTACTAGATGAGACACTGAATTAAATTATACCACAGGCAGTCCATACGGCTATAATTCTCAAAAAATATTTCTTAAAACTTAGCTCTATATCTCACTCATGTTATAACAACTTGGATACATTTTCACTATAAAAAGTTAAAAAAGTTTTTTTTTACTGATTAATCACTTTTGTACAGATGATAAGTGATGAAATGATAGACGAGCAAAATACATTGTTCTCCAATCTGTATGTAATCCACTAAAGCCCATATTTACGAGTCACAATTTCCGAAAGAAACCAATATATAACAAATAACCACAAAATGCTAGTGCACATTTTCAAAATCTAAAGGTACAGCCCTGCAAATGCTTGTTCACATGGAAGGGCCTCCACCCAAGGCAGCTCAAGAGGGCATTTAGCCTACCTTCCACGCAAGCCAGACATCTTAAGAGCCTTGCCGATTGACTGTGGTGTATCCATTTATGCCACTGGGTGGCAAGAGGCGGAGGTGATTTAATACATTTTCCCATTGTTTCAACTGCCTTGCCAGAGGTTCAAACCGGAGACCTCTGGATTTTAAGTCCAGTGAAGTGACCATTACATCATGACAGCATCCCTCATACCACATAAGTAATATTATTTTATGTTTCATATCACGCTACAGAACTTGTGCATGTGTGGCAGAGCTCATGCATAACACAACTCATACACAACCACATTCGAGAGAGATAACACCACAGAGGGGAGCTCACATAAAACACACCAAGTGCTCACACATAATTTCAGAGCCGAGTTCATGCACAAGAAAGCAGCTCTCACGCACCAGTTTTCCAAAATGCTTTGCAGGCAGCGAGGTGATGAAAGCGCAGAGGTGAGTGCAGACGTATTCGTAGAGGCTGATGTAAGCCAGAGGATTCCCGTTCCTCATCACGCCTGGCAGAAGCACGGGGAGGGCGAGCTCCACGTGACACGCTCCCAAAGCCGTAAAGACAGCTTTGAATAGACCGTGCCTGCGGAGATTAAAGGCGCACTCTCAATTCACACCTCCCTGGCTGAGTGAGGGGACCCAAAGAGATATATTGTGTCTGCTGCAATTGTATTTACACAAGAATAACAACAGTATGTTCTTGCGATATTACAGAATGTGTGAAACTGCTGATACACCGCACTAAAACAGCATCTTCTAACTCTTAAGTGTTGATGTAAGATTTGTTTTTGCATTGTTTTGGGAAAATATGGAGATTACATCTAATTGTTATTCTTCATACAACAAAGTATACACTCAAGTGCAGTGTTCCAGATTGGGCTGCATGTTGGGAATTTTATTCTCTCAATCTTTTGCCACACAGTGCTATGGGCATCTTCAGAAGTTGAGTAACTGTTGTTGAGTAATTCAACTCCTGAAGATGCCCGTAGTAGTGCGTAGTGAAATATTGACAGAAGATATGCTCAACATGCACCCCGACCCAAAAAAAACACGCTTGGATTACAAGTGTCTATGAAAACTCTCTTGCGAACGTATAAAACAGTTATTTGTGTCGTGGTTTTATTTAAGTTTTGCAATAATTCATCCTAAGGTAAAACAAATATGTATTCTGTTTTTGGCACTTTCTGTAAAAATCTCATTGTATTGTCACCTGGGTGGTTTCTCTGTATCCTCACTGCCACTGCACCAAATCTCCAGGACATCTTCAGTCTGGCTGGGCAGCATGTCCATCACCCCCATGAGCAATAAACAATGTGGCAGATAGCACTCTTGACTGATATCTGCTGCAGTACATTAAAACACAACATTACATAATGAGCAATACCCATAAAACATATCACAAGCATACATTTTTCAAGATGAATCCTAGTATTTTGTCATTTCACCTGCATGTTGCAAATAAGCCTCCAACCTCTCACTCCATACATTTTCAGTATCTCACTCCACACACCTCCCACAATTCACTCCACGCATCTCACAATCTACGTGACCTGACCCTCGCAAGTGGCATGAAAAAGCGACCGCGTCGAAGTGGTACGCATAGTGACGTGCAATTATTGAGCGCTAAGTCGCGTGTAGAAAGCCAGAGCACACACAGTGCAGCGATTTGGGTTGCGTAGAGTATGTATGTACGTACAACTTCTTTTGCATTGTACATAGCCAACCGTGGTAATTGGAGGAGCGGGGGGAAAAACAAACTAAACACAAAAAAGTTCGACACGGGAGATGTGTGGAGAGGGAGATTAATGTACCATGAGCCGGGAGATGAGAGTGCAATGTGAGATGAAGGAGATACATGGAGCGAAAGAGGCAGAGACAGAAACAAGAGAGCAGATGTATGGAACGAGAGGCTTGAGATGTGGCGAGGTGTGTGCACAGAAAGGCAAAATATGGAGAAGCGTGCATTGAGATATGTACACAGCACAGGAGACGAATGCAGGCAAGCAGACACAGCATGAGAGAAGAGAGCAATTGACAACATTAGAGAAGGTAGTGAGGATGAGAAATAGAAGCAGAGTTAGAGAAAACACAGCATGGAGAATAAGCTGTTTTATGGCAGGAAAAGTGTTTCATGATCAAACGTTTTCTCGGATCTAAAGTTATTTTTTTCGGGTCCATTGAAGAATGTTAGATGTAGGTTTCATGTTTGTGGTTGAAGTGATATCTTTAAAAAAAGTGTTTCTTTAAAAAATTCCATATCACACTGTATAACAAGAAATGCATGCGGCATGTTAAATATACGTATAAGTTCATACTAACCACAGCTACAAAACGTCTTCCTAGAGTACAATAAAATTTATAGTTAAAATGTATTCCTGTGAGATACTTATATTTGTTTAAATATTATACATGAATGGAATAAACTATACGGATTGTTGCATTGTGCTGACCATGATATATGTTTACTGCTTGGAGAAGCCTTCATCCAGCAGGACAAATCATGGTTGATTATGATGAAGCATAAAATTCACCAGGTGCAATGTAGAATGTAAACTGACAATGACACAACATCTGCACCAATATTGGATGGCAAAGTTTATATTTATGAAACGCAAAATCCTTTGAGATAAAATGTTGCACTCAAAAGCAGGCAAATTATATTTAAACTCCCGAACAATATGCACACACGCTCGTCAGGCAGAACACCCTCAGTTTCACCTCGTGTCTCGGAGAGCACAACTTCAGCAAAGCGCAAGCAGCCAATGAGCTCAGACAGCAATGGGTGAGCGCACACCAGCACACTGCCTCTCAGCTCTTGCATGTGAGCGTCGGCCATGGATGGGGCTGTCACACTCGGAGGCATCTTGCTGCACACAATAGCACGCACCATTAGGCCGCAAGCACATGGACAAATGTGTGTCCTGCTTAGCAGAACTTCCAAAAGCAACAAAACACTGAAATGTTGCTTCATACGCAAAGTAGATGATATAATGTCTAAGCTTCATTTCAACACATACTTTGAACACTTGGAAATATGGCAATGTAGCTACACTAATTGGTTTTGACACACCTGATGACGACCGTTTGTGTTATGGTCGAAACGTCGTGAGAATTTTTTATTGTTTTATATATATTTTATTATTTTATTGTTTCCCTTCAACGTGACTTTACCGAAAGAGCTAAGAATATAATTGGTTTCTGTTTTAGATAACACGCGTGTGGAGTTTGTGGAGCACATCTGCAATACAGCGCTATAATATGGTAGATGGAATGTAAATTGACTTCTCACACCAATGCTCGTTAAAGTTCACTACTGAAAGTAATTACACGAACCCCCAAAGGACAATGTCGAGATAATAAGCAGAAGCCGTGAAATGTAACATGATTGAGTTCCCTGGTGCCTAATCTATAGTCCCTACACTAATGTAATACGTATAAAAACAAATTATTACTAATTTATTTATCCCATTTTCAAGGCGTTAATTTGAAAGTTTTCCTAAGACCGCATATAATGTATTTACTTGATACTTTACATTCGAATGCTCATTTAAGGTAATACCGAATACAACCAAAAGTTGTGTACTTCATAACAAGTCAGGCAAAAGGTGTATTGAATGCAGATACCTATGCAGTTGAAGATAGAGGTCATAGAGATCTTTGCAACAGGTTCCCAGATATTCTTTAAACTCCTAAAAAAAAGATATAGATGTTCACTTTATTTATCTGCTTACTTCCTTGTCCAGTGGTTATTGTTATCAAATATACATAAAGTATTTCTCTATTCACGAAAGTGTATAATTGCAAGTATGGCAGTGTTCAACATATTCACAACTTTGACAACATAGTTCAATTCTGCAGCACCCAGACATTTACAGGATTGCATAGACCTATTCTACGGTTTCCAAAATTCTCATATTAAACTGCACGCTACCTCGGACCTTTTTGGTATGCATAAGTCGAAAAAAGTATGACCGTGTGATACATGCTTAAAAGGTTAAGTTTCCTTCATTCATGAATAAAGGATTATCAGCTTTCAAAATCTGGAGGACATTTACATTGTGTCAAAACAGTACATTAAATGGCGAGTATGTCTTGCAAAGACGCACCTTGATGAAATGAATGAGCGTATTGGCAAAGAATCGACACAACTTGACAGTCCTGGTAAAAATTCTCTGTTCGGTCATTGTGGTTTGCTAGAGGAAAACAGCCACAAGTACCATTTCATGTAGGCAAAATTAATAACGCAGTGCAACTGTAACAAACGATTGCCAATTAACAAATCTGCAACATGCTATGCATCCATCATTGTGCCAACGTATTCATCAAGTAAAACAAATATTCACAACGTATATTAATTATATATTAACAAGCGTATAATGTACAGCATTTAGACTTACAAGGACAGCACAATTACACTAAACTTCTGAAGGCCTTCAAAAGCACCATCGACTGTTGTATGGAAGGGTCAAATAAACCACCTGGTTTGTAGATTGCTGTATTTGTTCGGACCGTTGTAGACAAGCGTTGAAGTTGAACACCAAATCGTCACACAGGCCCTTGACAATGTCCCGGTGATTAAGTTGAGCTTCTATGTACACCCTATGCTTCATACTCTGCCTGAAAATGCACAAAAGAGCTTACAGGCAAACTGGAGCACAATTAATTGAATTATGATTTTTCTTCTATACTCTGCTACTTTTACGATTGTATGTGTGTACAATTTGCTTACTGTATGTAGCATTAAATTGAACATATTGCATGAATTTTTTTTTACATACTTAACCACAAATTTCCACGTGTTGGCTTGAAGTGCGTGGTCCATGTTGGCAATAACAGTACATATTTCTAACACGCCATGAATCACTAGAAAAGCACGCATGCACACACACACATCAATGTTTATTGACATAGATATAGTTAACTATTGTATAAATATCACATGAAACACTCATTCAAAAACCTATAATTTATAAGAATAACATTACTTATATTTACTATACAAATTTTATGTCAGTTTAAAACACATTTCTACTCAAGCATTTCATTAAGTCTGGCATCCCGCCCTGAATTGCCAAACTACCATAAATGTGAAATCAAGTAAAATCTGCAATCTTGAATTTCTAAATAGGTCGATATATGCAGTTTTATTGGTAGCCAGTCTGATACCTTCACTGCCAACTCTGCCATTAGGTTTTAAACAACATCATTTATTTTCCTTATTAAGAACTTGTTATCTTCCACTCATAATACGATCCACTCCTTTGCCATTAGCTACCCATACCCATGAGCTCCACTCACTGCTTCCTCCTCCAGATGTTGAGGAATCGATCTACAAGACCCCGGCAATTTCATCTCATCCAGTGTTCAACCACACACACTGCAGGTCATAACACTTCTCTTTATGTTTCTTCCCTCACACAGCCCACTTTATCATTTCCTTCCATTATCTCTTTTCCAAAGTTATCATAACCTCTCAATTCAGGAGTGTATTAACTGTAATCTATTACAACTTTAATATTACTCTTTGCTGCTGGCTATTTGACATTTTAGTCATTGGCCCTCTGTGCAACAACCAACAAAGTTAAAATTAACATAATATATCAACGACAGTGAATTAAATAAAGCAGGTGCATTACAATCATATTTTCTTATCCAAGGTGATGTGAGTGATGCGAGTACAATATCATATTTGTTTCCATCTTCACAAATTATTCCTTTAAGGTGAAGTAAAGCATGCATAAGTGAAAATATTGTTTAATTTTCTGTCACTTAACCCCCGTGTTTTAAAATGGAAAATAGGATGTCTCTTCTGAGGGACACCTTTATTAATATGTTAATAGAGATAAATGAAGAATGGCTGTGTATCGGAGTTTGTGTTAAATTGGTGTGGCACAGATATCATAATCGGGACTTGCACTGGAAAATTTTAACGATGTACACTCTTGAGGGAACATTTACTCTGTGACCCCTCACATCATGGTCAGCACCTGCGATCAAGTCTGTGACATCTTGTTGGGAAGATTCCGGATTAATCACCACTCTATCAATCATCTCCAGGAAGAGCTTCTGCAGGGAGTACGTCTCCTTGAATACAGCCTGCAGCAGGTCCGCTACACGCTGCAGCTTGCAGCCATACACCGCCTCGCTGTTCTGCAAAGCATAAACGAGAGTCACACGTGAGCCATGAAGAGGCATTGGGCCAAACCGCCTCAAAGCTTAACCAGTGCAGGTTATTTCACACCGCATGTAGCCAGCCATACTAATCAGAGGTGCGGAGGTAGGACAACACACTAAACACAAAAAGCAGTTCTAAAAAAATGAGTTTTTAAATTAGATTTGAAAATTCAAAGCTCCAGTGGCTTCCTAATATCGGAAGAGTGTTCCAGAAGGCTGCAGAAGCACATCTGAAAGCACACGATACAGTGACCATCTTTACTCGATGGCCAGCCAAAATGTGCTGCGAGGTTGGCCAGAGTTCGAATGATGGTGTATGCTTCTTGACGAGATCGGCAAGGTATTGTGGCTCATTTGTGACAAGCACTGTTGTGTGTAATCAGAGCGACCTATGTAACACCCCACGTTAAATATGAACTTTGTTGCTTTTGTTTTTTGCAATGGTGTCATACATTACTGAGACAATATAGTCAATTACAGCCTGTATATAGGCTCAGAAAGCCCAAGGCTTGATCACCAACCCTCCTCTTGTCTGGATGCCTGCCCCAAGGAGCATATGCAAATTTGGCAGGCAAATGCTTTGCCTATGAAATAAATGTGATAAGCAGTTGGAGTGTAATAAACAAGATGTGTTAATCATTTATCTTAAAAATACATTGTAGTTTTCTTTTTCAAATATCTCCATGCCATCACAAACCAAAATAAAATCTGCAATGTGTAACGTTTGTATTCACGCTGGCATGACCATGTGACCCTACACTGGTAATCACATAATTGCTGCATATGCAAGACAAATTTAAAAACTACTTTGAACAAGAATATAATAATAGGTTTTCCCCTTTTTTCTGGCAACAAAACTGAAACTTTTTACAAGGAATCATGTCTGCATTAACCACAATTACTTGTGGTCAGAATGCAAACAAAAAACTGATAATATATGCATTGTCCTTGAAAATGATTGGTCCACACCATGATTCTTTGTAAAAGGTTTCAGTTTGGGGTTTATACATATTAACAGCCGTTGTGTTTCCAGAAAAAAGGGGGAAAACCTATTCTCATATTAAGATGTATCAGTTGTTGTAAAATATTATTACTCAATAAAAAAAAGTTGCCTCTATGAACCATAAGGCCATGGTGGGTGGTATGTGCTTGGGTGGTATGTGCTCATGTGGTATGTTACCTTGCAGTGCTGAAAGGTGCTTTTGAGGATGTGAAGAACTGAGGATGGAAGGGAATGCATGGCTTCCAGATACAATGCATTGTCTCCAGAAATAACTTGTCGGATGCATGCCCCAAGACATTCAACTATGGACACCAAAGCCTGGAAAGCACAAGATACATATTACACCAGAGTAATGTTCACTTACAACAGAAATAATATACCATAGGATGTGGTAAATTGTAGCATAATATATTAAATTACACTGATAGTTGACCTTTGACGTAATTGCTTTATTCATAACTAGCTTTACAACCCGGTTTCGCCCGGGACTTGGATTCACCACGCCCGGCCGCCTTTGTCTCCCCAGTGGCGATGTTCACACACCACACCAGTTAATTGCTTGAGGCTGTGTCGACCTAGGGAGGCCCAGGACGGGTTCAAATAATCGTCACTGGTGGTGGCCGTGAACGGGAATCGAACTCGGGTCGCCGGGTTCGTAGCGCAGCGCGCGAATCGCTACGCAGTCGCTGCCACCCCCCCATACACACAGGATAAAGACAAAGATCCCCCGTGTAGCCTTTTAGACTGTTTGGGGCAAGTGCTGTTAGCGAGCACCTATGAAGGCCGGCACGGCACACGAGGGGGTGGGTGGCCAACACCACGCCCGGCCGCCTTTGCCCCCCCAGTGGCGATGTTCTCACACCACACCAGTTACTCGTTTGAGGCTGAGTCGACATAGGGGAGGCCCAGGACCGGTTCAAATAATCGTCACCGGTGGTGGCCGTGAGCGGGAATCGAACTCGGGTCACCGGGTTCTTAGCGCAGCGCGCTAACCACTACACTACAATGCGTTACGCTTCCACATGCGCGGGTCACATGACAGATTTGACGTCACAGCTCACTTGCCGTGCAAAAAATATATGCATTACTGAGCTCCCCCCCCCCCCCAAAAAAACACAAAAGTGTATTTTTATATTTTTTGCATGGTGTACAGTCTGGAAAGTACCCGCATGACAAATCTCCAGTTTGTTGCATGTCGGGAAGTAGGCTAAACATTTTGAACAGACACACGTAATCACAACTTTGCCTTTTATATATATGGAGATGAGAGCTACTGAGATACTGTACTTCTTTTGAAAGGGTGAAATAATGCAATTCATGAACTTACAAATAAAGTGGAAATAACACGTGTTATCTTTACAAAAAATCGATATTGTTCTATATTAGGTATTTATAAATATTGAGTAAATTTATTTGGTCAGAATACATGTTTTGAATTGTGTACTTGTAAGAACGTAAATACTGCAAGGAAATATGCTACCATATTAAAAATCTTGTAAAACAGTTGTAGTAGATTACAGACCTGTAAAATGTTTCGAAGCAGTGTTTTAAGTTCAATGTTTTGGCTGGACAGCTCTGCACCTTGAGATGTTAATTCCTCAATAAAATCATCGACGATTTCCCTTACCTGAAACACAACAGTGATATCACAAGTCATGCAGTAAACACAATACTATCTTCTTTGGTTCTTTCGGTAAAGTCACGTAGAATGATAATAAAATAATAAATTGATAAAATAAAATAACACAATAATATTCTCACGACGTTTCGGCCACAACACAAGTGGCCTTCATCACCTGATATTATTGTGTTATTTAATTTTATCAATTTATTATTTTATTATCATTCTACGTGACTTTATCGAAAGAACCAAAGAAGATGAATCATTGCAGTCACGAAAGCTTTAAATCGAAACACAATACTAATTTGATATTTTTCACGGAAATATTACTGCTTCAAGGTGGAACGTTAAGCTCATTGGAACAGACATCCATGATTATGCACCATAATTTGAGCCTTTCCTGATGCATATTTCCATTGAAAATGATCACGAGAAATGTAAATAGATTTATCCAGTGTAAAGACACGATTGTCAATTTGATTTGAGTGCCCAAATGAAACCGAGCCCTCAACGATTTACAAATTTACATATTTTAGAAAGTGGAATAGTTTTGCCCTCGAGATGGAAAAATAAAAACGTCAAACTTTGTACAGTGTTTGTAGATGTGCCATACCCCAGGAAGAACTTTGGAGAACAGTTTAGGTTCCACATCACTGAGTGGAATGTGTGGCAGGAAATGGTTTGTCAACACCTTTAGCACCTCTGTAAACAAAAATACAAAAAATGGTCCCATAAAAGTGGTATCCTAATAGACATTAAGCCAAACCAAAAGCTTTTCACGGCTTCAGCAATAAACACAATGCATTTATCAAACTGCCCCACATAAAGAAGTATATTCGGCTGCAATTTGCAAGTGTATATTCCAATGAGCCATACAAAGTATGGTGTCTAATTGGAGCCATACAATTTTTTAACAAATTTTTACTTTGCAAATATATCAGCCAAAGAACACAATAGTACATAACTTGAATGTAGAGATATACTTACTTATCTTCATGAAACTGTTCTCTTCAGAATATAGACAGTAAGCTTAGTCAAGGGAACCTTTTATTCGAGAAAATATTTAATGTTCAAATGACAAAATTCCAAGCATCACCCCTCCATTAGCACGGTTGGCTACGTACTGTGCGAAAGAAGTTCAACATAATTACATACAACTGCTGTCAATGGGTGTATAACTTTTACGTCAATTATTTGACCAAATGTTCTAATCATGAAGCTGCTGCTGCTGAATTGAATAAATATAAGTTTTGAGTGTTTTATTTTTAAAACCAAATATTTCGAGAGTATATCAAATTAAGTCTTAAATTACAAGCATCCCACATGGCATTAACAAATGTCATTCAAATTCTAGTCCTCTCAATTATGAAACGTTAGTCAGTATTTACTGAATCAACTGTCTTTTCAAACTTTGTTTTTTTTTTTTCGGTAAAGTCACATAGGTAAAAAAATAAATGAAAACAACTAAATTAAATCACGACGTTTCGGGCACAACACAAGCGTCCGTCATCAGGTGGAACAAACACAGCGAAGACAGTTGCTGAGACATATCTCAGCAACTGTCTTCGCTGTGTTGCTGAGACATCTCAGCCACTGTCTTCGCTGTGTTGTCTTCGCTGTGTTGCTGAGACATATCTGTGTTGCAACACAGCAAAGACAACACAGCGAAGACAGTTGCTTAGATATGTCTCAGCAACTGTCTTCGCTGTGTTTGTCCCCACCTGATGACGGACGCTTGTGTTGCGCCCAAAACGTCGTGATTTAATTGAGTTGTTTTCATTTATTTTATTTATTTTTTTACCTACGTGACTTTACCGAAAATACCCAAAGAGTATGAATCCTTGCAGTCACGAAAGCTTCTAATCTAGAATGCCTTTTCAAAGTCTATAAACACTAGACTTGACAGTACATGCACAGCATTATGTAAATCCACTGCTGGATGAGGGATGTTAGACCATACTTCACCATGCTGGTCAGTTTGGGTTGAAGTTGTACAGTGTAGACATTGGATAAGTACAGTATAACTGCCACCCGTTGACAATGTTGCCTCCAATATCAAATACAGTACTGTTTTCCCAAAATTCTGCAATACTGTACTGTTATTTATATATTACAAAAATGTATACTGTAAGTTATTTGTGACTTCTTCATTTGTACTCTTTGTATGGATTCCTGCAGTCACTAAAGCTTCAAATCAAGATTCTTAATTTGTGTATAGGATATCAGAAGCTTGGGTAGAACAGTCTCCATTTGTTCTTGACAGGTATCAGCATTCCATTGCGAGACCTCTTCCAAAAGGGAAGTTTGAGAGCTTTGTGACATTACTCTGTAAAACATGCGCGTTCATAGAAAACAGACGTTATTTTAGCAACACCATCCACACGAAAGAAAATTCCACCATTGGAAACCTCATTTGTTTGCGTTCCGACCGCAGGTATTGTGGTCAATGTAAACATGACTCCTTGTAAAAAAAGGTGTCAGTTTTGTTGCCAGATAAAAGGGTAAAAAAACAATTATCCAAATTATTCCAATTGCCAGAATAAGATCGTACCAGTACCTCGTCTTCAGTGTAATTCCTTACAATAGCACAATGTGTATTTATAAAGCGTCTAAATGTGGCGGCATTGGGATACCTCACATTCATGCAAGTACTTTAAAATTATTACAGATACTTTAAATATATAGTACTATGAAGTGCTTTATAAATGCCTATTATAAATCCGAATATTGCATAAGAGTACAGTATATAAACAGTATAACTCAAGAGTATGACGCTTTATCTCAAACACAACACCGTACCTCATAGCCGTATAACTCCAAGAATAATACTATACTGTAGCTAGGAAAGTGGTTATTTGAAAACATATCATGTAGCATTTACTTCATTCATAACCACGTTAACTTTACACTTGACACTTCGATACCTATATTCTTGGATCTTTCGGTTAAGTCACGTAGAAGGGAAACAATAAAATAATACTAATGGCATAAGTTAACAGTTCATAGATTAGGATATTCCAGGTCACTTCAGGTCTAAACAACACATTTTCAGTAAAGCAAGTCCACATTTTAATTAAATGCCTTCTAATAGTGTTACAAATTTACGGTAATTGTAGCAATGATGTTTATATGGACATTACTTCAAATCAGTAGTACATGCGCTAAACCTGCTGTTGCACAAGCTCTTGAGGCGAGTTACACAGTGATACATACAACTTAAAGCTGACCACTACCGAAATAACCTGGATCAATGTTGATCATTTCATTTTAATTGTAAGTTTTAATGTTTAAGCTACCGAAGCGGTAAAAGAAACCAGAGGCTCCAGACAAGGCCCACGCGAGCGCCTTTACCGCCTGTGTATGATAAAGCTCCGCACGCGAACCCTCGCAGCAGCCGCGAGCCGGGTGCCGATGGCAAACAGAAACAATGTTGACCGCGTCGGCTTTTAATAGCAGTCGCAATAGGTTATAGTCGTTTGTATAACAAAAAAAATTGCAATTTAAAATGAGAACACACGCGTACACCCGGTGACTAACAAGCGCGGGGTTTTGGTTTAAGCGGCACGTGACGCGTGATGGAGGCGGGGGGGGGTCACCGGACTCTACCAACTCGGGCCCGCGCACTTTGAAATGGGGGTGTTGGGGGAGCGGTGGTGCAGTGGTTAGCACGCTGTGTGCAGGTTACGAAACCGGCCACCCGAGTTTTGATTCCCGCTCACGGCCACCGACACCGGTGAGGATTATCTGAACCGGTCCTGTGCTTCCACTAGGTCGGCTCGGCCTCAAGTGAGTACCTGGTGCGGTGTGTAAAAAGATCGTCACTGGGGGGAGACAAAGGCGGCCGGGCGTGGTGCTGGCCACCCCCACCCCCCTCGTGTCCATAGCAAGCACGTAACGAATTATACTTGCACAGTTTAAATCTCTAACAGACAAAATATCATGGATGTTCAATGGGTGATGATGCATTTTAACATAATATAAGGGATACGTTTCGGATTACACACATTTCGGGTTTTTCGGATTGTTAGATGGATAATATATAACATTAAATAGTTCAATATATTCCAAGCTATAACAATTGTGAAGTTTTCCGATACGTGACCACATCTCTTACGGCGGGAAAATCACGGAAGGGGCATCGGGTTTTCGGATTAATCCAAAACAAAACCCAAAATTTCGGATTCGTCCCAAATTTCACATTTAGGCTTGGATTACATTAATTGGTGAAAATGCTGCGCAATGTGTACCGCATGTTACTTACGACGGAAGTCAATTATATGCGCGATTAGATATTAATATTTAAAATAGAGGCTCTCGAAGCACACGACATGGAAACAAAACGGGAAACGGTTGCAAACAATCCCAAGATTACAAAGCGATAGATGTTATTTTTTTAATATATAATTTCCCCCACCTCCGAACTTTCGTCCCCATTGTGCTCTCAATGTCACGAGACGCAGAAGCCCATTCGGAACTCTCGCAGAAACCAGACGACACAACAACAACAACCCTCCCCATGTAACAAGAGGACGGGGGCCCGCGAAAGCGAACCTCACAGAGCTACCACTGAGATCGACTTTCCCACATGCTGCAGTTGAACCTCGGGCCCACGCAGAGGAGAGAGAGAGATGGGGGCGGCGGTGGCAGCACTTTAACACAACCAACATATAGACATTGTGGCCGAGAATCGTGACAGTAAGCGGAATCTCACGGGGTGAAGGGACGGCGATATTCGTCATCACCGCTATCCCAGGCGTAGTGACCCCAGTCTCGGTCCCCCCCCCTCCGCGAACTCGCGAGTTGGCTACGCCCGAGGCCGCTTTTACGCGGGAAACGCTGTCATCATTGAGGGACATCTTAGCGGCGTCTCCTCCTCCTCCTGCACCACCACTACCCACAGCAGCACGGACACCGCGAGGACAACCGCCGCTACAACAACAACAACTAACCACAATCAGTCTCCACCACCACCACAAGCAGCAGCAGCCACGGGCACCGCGGCGACTCGCCATGGCGCTCACGCTCCCCGACGACGTGAAGGAGAGGTGAGGGAGGCTGCGGTGGTTGATCGTCGATGGCGGTGATGATGGTTGGTGGGTCGTGGTGGATGGGTAGTTGATGATTGTCATGGTGATGATAACGGAGGTGGTGGTGGTTGGCGATGGTGGTGTTAGTGGTCGTAGTGGTATAGTCGTTCATTTATGAGGGGGCAGTGGTGCAGTGGTCAGCGCCATGGTTAATGATCGTCAGCCATGGTCTATCCACTGCCGGATAAATCCTTCTCTCCGAATCGTCGCCATGGCTCGCCGTCAATGCACACGGGAGTTAATTGAATCGCAACATCTCGGCAACGGGCACCCTCGGTCGCGTTTCTTTCGCCTCCAACCCCTTGGGCCCCCCCCGAACCCCTTGGGCCCCCCCCCCAACCCCTTGCCCCCCCCCAACCCCTTGGGCCCCCCCAACCCCTTGGGCCCCCCCCCAACCCCTTGGGCCCCCCCCCAACCCCTTGGGCCCCCCCCAACCCCTTGGGCCCCCCCCAACCCCTTCCCCCCCCCAACCCCTTGGGCCCCCCCCCAACCCCTTGCCCCCCCCCAACCCCTTGGCCCCCCCAACCCCTTGGGCCCCCCCCCAACCCCTTGGGCCCCCCCCAACCCCTTGGGCCCAACCCCTTGGGCCCCCCCCCCAACCCCTTGGGCCCCCCCCCCAACCCCTTGGGCCCCCCCCCCCAACCCCTTGGGCCCCCCCCCCCAACCCCTTGGGCCCCCCCCCCAACCCCTTGGGCCCCCCCGCCACTCCGTCGTTAGTGTCGTCCGTCACAATGGCAGAGGCGTCTTCTCGCCCAAGTTCGCGGCGAGCGGCACCGCAGACTTCGATTCGGGAATCTCCGAGGTTCGATTACCGGCCTCGACTAACAAGGCCAGCCCCTCATCCATTAATAAGTAATGCACGGTTCGCGGTGCAGGTGTGTGTGTGTGAGAACGCCTGCGCTGGGGAGACAAAGGTGGCCGAGCGTGCCTTGGATACGACCATCGCCAACCCCTCTTGATGTGTGCAGACGCTAATAGGTGTTCGCTAACAGCAGTTTCCACGACGGTGCTATTGGGCGTTTTTGTGTGTAAGGTTGGCATGTCTGTGGTGCGGTACTGCGCGTTGTCAGCGTGAGGTATGGGCCAAATATTACTCGTACGCCGCACGGGCTGGGGAGTTCATTATCCAGCAGTAGTTTGACATATGCGTGTGCATGCGTGCGTGACTCGTGCCACGATATCACAGTCTTCTAGCTGTACAATTTCCCGCCATGGACGTCACTGTTGCACGTGTTTCCTTAACCTTGCGTCGACTTCCTGAAATCGCCGAGGGACTTGGTGCGGTGTGTGTCAAAACATCAGAGGGGGAGACAAAGACGACCGGGCGCGGTGTTATCACCCAAGAACCAGTGTGCCGCTCGGGCCTTAATAGGTGCTTTCAAACACCACTTGCAATCGCCCGCCACCCCCAGAGTGTGCATGGCCACACGGCGTGGTGATCTTTGTTTTAGTGGTGCCAGACAGCATCGCCTTGCCACGAACACGCTTGGGTGCTGTGTACGGCACGCTCTTTGGTTGCTAATTTTGATTGAATATACGTTGCAGTTTTGAAATATGTATATCCTCAATTGTAGACAACATGAAATCGTCATATCAAGAGTTTAACATCTTCAGTTGTCAATATAACTATGCTGCATCTCAATGTGTTGTTGATTCTCAATTGCCTGCCTAATTGAATCTACGACGTATGAAGGACGCAGCTAGTTTATATTCTGTACGTTCAATCCCGGTTGGATAGTTTGTTCGGTTCGATTGCTCTGGCCTGGGCGGACACACACCACGTGCAGCGATCTGTCGCGTGCTATTCGTTGCTGTGTTTGGGTTATGTTTCATTTCCGGAAATAGGTGTATTAAGAAAACTTATTTAAGGAAGTTAACGTTAAATACGTTATATTCTTAGCTCTTTCGGTAAAGTCACGTTGAAGGGAAACAATAAAATATATATAAACAATAAAAATTCTCACGACGTTTCGACCATAACACAAACGGTCGTCATCAGGTGTGAAAAAACCAACGGCAAGAAACATTTGAAAGAAGTGGATGGTCTGCAATTAATTTGTTTATTTTTAAAACGGTGTATTTATTTATAAAAAACGTCAGCGCCACGCGCAGCGATTTGGCAGTTTATTTAGAAGGACGAGTCCATCTATGTTCTGAGAAGAGGAGGGGGGAGACGAAAAATTAATGTATGCTGTCTGAAAGCCACCGTAAGCGTGAACAATCAATTAAGACCTGAAATGGTTTATCAAATCCTTCCAATGATTGCTAAGCCAGAATCCATCTTCTCTGTGCTTGTATATGTGGATAGCCTCATGAACGAATCTCTCATGGTAGCCAGATGGCTTACAAAGAACCTCTGTCTTGGAAAAGTCAATGTCATGTGAGCCTACTGATAAATCCTTTCACTGGAAAAACCACCTCTGCGGTACAAAATTATACTCACCTGGTATCGACAATCAAGGGTATTTCCCTGTCCCCAGACGACCTGCTTGTCAGTTTTTATGTAGTTTCCTTATTTACCAAGGTTCCTGTACCTGACACCATCGCAATCATTGAAGACTTGGTTCATCAAGGACTAAACACTGAGGTACCCCCCCTGGTGAGACACTGTTTAACCAAAACATACTTCACTTGGAATGTAACTTTCTACAAACAAACTGAGGGCACCCCAATGGGCTCCCCCCTATCTCCGGTTATAGCTAACATTGTCATGGAGAAATTTGAGACTGACGCCATCCAGATTGCCACTCTGCGCCCAACCTTATGGAAGAGGTACGTGGATGACACTTTTGTCATCTGGCCACATGGCCGGCTTGCTCTAGACCAATTCTTCGACCACATCAATTCCATACACCCAGCCATCAGATTTACCATGGAAGTCGAAAAAGATGGCAAGCTACCTTTTTTGGATGTCCTAATAAAAAAGAGACCTGATGGTTCAATGAGCCACTCTGTCTACAGGAAAGCTACCCATACGGATGCTTATCTGAAACCGGATTCCCACCACCATCCATCACAGAAGAATTCTCTCATCAAGACTCTGTACCATAGAGCCCAATGCATATCTGACCAGGAACACATAGGCAGTGAGCTCAAGCACGTACACCAAGCTCGTAAGGCTAATGGTTACTCCGACTATACAATCCGCAAAGCTATCACTCAAACCATGAAGAAGGACCCTCTTGAGGAGCCTTTCAAAACCATCACTCTACCCTACATTGCGGGGATCACAAAAAATATCTCCAAAATCTTGACTAAACACAAGATCCAGGTCCGTTTCAACACATTACATAAAATCCGTGATCTGGTTCCTTCTGTAAAAGATGTGATTCCGGACATACAGTACCCTGGTGTCTACAAACTAAGTTGCCTCTGTGGTAGTAGTTACATTGGAGAAACCAAATGACATGTCTCGGACCGCATTCGTGAACACAAAGCAGACCTTAAACACGGTAGGACCAACACCTCGGCCGTGGCAGATCATTGTTATCAGTCAGTAGGCTGACATGACATTGCCTTTTCCAAGAGAGAGGTTCTTTGTAAGCCATCTGGCTACCATGAGAGATGCGTT